CCAGCGATCCCTGCGGGTTTCTTTGACGATTCCTTGGCCGACGCCAAGGCCCGCAGTGTGGACGTGAAGCAGCTGGCAGAAAAACAGCTCGAGTCCGAGTGGGAAGCATTTCAAGAGTTTGCAGCCGAGGTAGAGCAGCAGTCGGTCCAGGAGGAGAAGCAACAGGTGGAGGAAACCAAGGAGCGCGAGGCGGTCGAGCAGCTCGAGAATATGGAGTACGTCGACAGATACCGTGTGATACTGGAGCGTGCAACCAGCCTTCGCAGCGGAGACAAGAAGCGCAAAGCAGAGAAACGGAAGCGAGACAGAGGCATCGACGACGTGGTTGAGGAAGACGGCGAGACAGGAGCCTCCAGTACCGTCGAGACAACGCTGGAAGAGGACACGAAGAAACATAAGAAGGCAAAGAAGCAGCACTCAGACGACGACTCTGACGATGACTTTGACCCGTGCAACTGGAGGTCTCGTGGCATCTAACATTTCAATGAACACATTGACAATTGGTACACAGAAGAACACTTGGTTCAAACAGGTTAAGTGGTTTAAAAGGGTCGCGCGTGATGGCTCTCTCCTCTATTGCGATAGCAGCGCCTAGACTAGGTTGACGATGGCGTACAGGATCACACCGCAGCCGGTCATCAGCACAGGCGTGTCCATCGTATGCGGAGCAGTCGCCTCTGCGTACGCCATTGTCGGCGCCAGGATCAGCATCGACAGCAGCACCTGCCAGAAGTTGTCGAACGCGGCGTACTGCAGAGCAGGGAACACCAGACCAGACAGGAACACACACGCACTGCCCTCCCAGCTACGAGTGTACTTGTTCTTCGAGAAGCAGCTGCGCGTCTTGTACTTGTGACGACCCCACGTGATACCCACAGGCTCCGCCAGACCGTCGCCGATGCCCGTGATGAACACGAGGATGAACGTCAAAGCTCCTTGAGCAGCGAATAGCCACTTGAAGAACATCAGAATGAACATACCAGGAGCGATGTTGCCCAGGATGATCCACTTGAGCGTGTTCGGACGATCTTCCGGGCGGTCCAGAGAGTTGAACTGCAGCATGAAGAACTTGGAGTGCTCACGGATGGGCTTGATGAGCACGAGGAAGCCCAGCATAGTGAAGAAGTCACCCCAGGCCAGAGCGATCGGACCAGAGTATTCAGACTTAATAACCAGCGGCACCATGTAGGCGGCAAAGTGCTGCAGCTTACGAGTGTAGTTGACCTTGAACTTGGACGACTTGTTGGTCATGATGTAGCCCTTCTCGTCGACATCACAGAAGCAGCGGCAGATGATACCGCCCAGAAGCGACACGACCATCATGACCACGAGCTTAGGCAACTGCATGATCCAGAATCTGGTCTCGTGCAGCCACTGCGGTTCGTAGAAAAACGTCAACACGAGCATCACGCCAGCGTACACGGCCATGCCGACCAGGAAGGCGAAGTCGAACGTGTTGTACCAGTGCTCCTCGTAGTCTCCAGCCACTTCTCCCTCCTCAACCAGCGACGTCTTGACGGCGGTGATAGGCTGCAACTGCTCGCCCGAAGTGCCGTACGAAGGCACTGGCGCGCGCACAGGCAACGGAGTAGGCACGCGCCACACGATGCGCAGCATGACGTAGCACAGGATGAGCGCAGCGAAGGGAAGCGCAGCGATGATGACACCCTCGGTGGTGGTCATGTTCTCAGGCCACTCGAGAGGAGCCGCCGTGGGCACGGGGGTCACGGGGTCGACCGGGATCACATCCGCCATGGTGAAAAAGTCTCCTGAGTTCTTGTGGACACTTGCGTCGAACGGAGCAGATTTGGATGTGACGTCCAATATCGAAGGGGCGGGCGAGCTTCCTGCGAAAGGATACCCACGAGTTTGAAACTGGATACACTCTCAAGAGCATATGTGAAATCAGAATGCATAGATTGGACAAGTGTAAAAGATACTTAGACGAGGAGGGAGATGGGCTTAAGTATCGTAGACACAAGGGCGGATCTTCTAAATGGACCGCATGGATGGACCGTGACATTTATTCTTACAGCCAACCATAACGCACTGCGTCACGCTGAGCTGCGCTGCCACACGCAAAACAGAAATGGTTGTCGAGTTACTAGGCACGAGTAGTTTGGAATCGTGATGGAGGCTGCGTTAGCATGCGTGTGACGGCGGATGGGTCGCTTGGACAACCCGCTTACTCAAGCAATCCTTACGCGTTTGCGCTGACGTGTTGGCGCAAGGACTAGACTCTTTTGTGTGGACTGGCCCAGTCCGACTGGGTGGCATGAGCATCCAGGGCCTATGGAGTCCATTTATGAACCAGTGGAGGCATGATGCCGACGCGACCTCAGGCATCAATCGACAGTGAAGAGTGACCGGATCTGGATGGAGTGACCCCGCTGACGGTGGAGGAACTACAGCCAATGGTTCATTTGGAGCTGCTTATGCGCCAACTGTGAACATATACTCCTGCTCGGTACCACATTCGCATCCAGTGGTCGTCGTCACATAGTTTTGGAGGAGT